GCGCCGCCCACTCGCGCTCGCCGCCGCTAGCGGCGCCCGCCGCGCAGATAACACCTCGAAAGCGCAGCGTCCACGGGGATCCTAACAGATGACAGGTGATGATTGGATTTTGATTGATTTTTGATTTGATTTTTTGATTTGGTTTTGATCCCTGATCTTTTATTTTGCATTTTTGATTGATTTTTGATTGATCTTTTTATTGATTTTTGATTGATTTTGATGATTTTTTGAATGATTTTTATTGTTTTTGATTGATTCTGCATTGTTTTTTGATTAATTTTTTGATTGATTTTTTTTGCGTTTTGATTCCGGGCCACGTCACGTCAGATTCATTATCGCGCTTAGTGAGGCGTGTTTTGCTTCGGGAGGTGGCGGAGATCTTTACCTCGCTGTATGCGCGAGATATGCGCCGCCACCTACCGTCGCGCTAGCGGGGGTTCCCCAACCCGATATCTCCCACCTTGGCGGGGGCACCCGCCTCAACAGACAAGTTCTAAGCTCCAGACCGATCTCCCGGCCGTGTGTGCTGGGTAGTGTCTGTTAGTGTAAGGGAAGGACGAGAGACATGGAAGAGGTAAGCGCAGCCCGTGGCCGTTTGATAGTCGCTACTGCTTCAGTATGGTGCCTGGTTTTGGATCGGAGAAACCCACAGAAACTACCGATCAGTGCAGCCGGTCGCTAGAATTCTCCTCCAGTCAGACTTAATTCGACCTAGCTGATAGTGTCGAAATCCTGTCACCATCGGGACACGGAAACTAGACCTCACAGTCAGAGGGACTGCAGTGGACATCAGTTGAGCCCTGTACCATCTCTCCCCGGTGACAGACGGGGGCTAACGGATTTCCTGTTAATCAGAAATGCAAGAAGTGTCCTTCCGTTAAATCCACTGCGAGTTATCTTGAGGATTTAAAAAAATGGATATCGAAATTCAATTAAAGATTTACGCGAATGTTTGCCGACAAAGTTACTTTCGCATTAGAATTTGTGATATTTTATGCGAATATTGCGGAAATTCACATAACAGCTCAATAAGAGTGAAAAAATAGTCTTCTATGTATCTATTCTCGTTAAGAAAGAGAGAATGAAGTGAGGTTTTCATTTCATTCGACAAAGTTATCGCAATCCGGGGAGTACGTTAATTGCGTGTTGTCCATATTTTCTTACTGGGAAAACATAATTCCACATTTGTAACATTTTTTTCACCATATCGTACGCTTGGCAACATGATGTTGAATTACAGAAGGAAAGTGAGAAAAAGTGAAGATTCCCAACCGGGAATCGGAAGTGGTGGATGAAACATCCATAACCACAGTTTGTTTTTAATTTGAAACTACGGCCCATGGACATGATTAATCAATGCTATTTTATTCCGCATTGCCGCTGATGGTCTGATGTGATTAAGCTTTAATACCCACAATTTATGATAAAAACATCGTTTTATCTGAGGAAGTGTGCGGAAAGAGTGGCGAAAAGCGTGTGAAATAAGAAAAAAACTTTATTTACGGATTCACATACACCAAAAGTATCAAAAGTATCCGGACACGTCCAAAATGGTTGTAATGGTGTTGGTCGTGTTTTTATAGAGTGGCTTGCACCCCTTGTTTTGGGTGTCACTACCACAGCACAGGCCTATGTCCATGTTTTAAACACCTTTTGGCTTCCCACTGTTGAAAGCAATTCGGGGTTGCGATTGCATCTTCAAAAACACCGATCGAGCCACCTGTTTATACTCCTCGACCTGGTGAGGAGTGGTCACAAGACAATAACATCCCGCTAATGCCAACTGGGCCTGCGCCCAGAGCGTCTGACTTTGCAATCTTACGCAACACGTTTTCGGCTGTTTTGCGACCACCGACTTCGTGCCAGGCCTCACCGACCCTACATCGATACTTCTCCTCAGTGCAGCACTCCGTGGAAAAGGGGCAGCCATTCCCCAAGAAAAACCATCCAGCACCTTGCATTGAAAGTATGCCTGCCGGGAGTGGAAGCTGTCATCAAGGCTAAGGGTAGGCCAACACCTATTGAAAGTCCAGCATTCCAATGGAGGGCGCACGAACAAAGTAAGTCATTTTCAGCCACGAGTCCCGACCACTTTTGATCACAAGTGTGTCTACGTAGTTGTTGAAGTGTCGCGTCACTGTGATTGTCAGTTTGAAAAGAATAACAATGCATTATTTATGATAAATAAAGGAGGGTTGTCTGTTATCAATAACATTTTATTAAGCTTAATGATCGTTTCGATTGCATAGCGCATCATCCTCAGAGCATGCAGCCTTCCCGCGGCCAAAAACAAAGTTCTTACCATTCCCCAAGAAACCTCCACACCTGATAGAAAGTATGTCTGTGAGAGTAGAATCTGCCATCAAGCGCTAGGGGGTGGGACAAACATCCTGTTGAATTCCAGTATTTACGATGCGAGGGCGAGCAGAAAATCTTTGCTTTTGGCCCGGAAAAGCTGCCAAGCTCTGAGGATGGTATCGCTATGCCGATCGAAACCGATTCATAACCCTAATAAAATTATTAATACCAGGACAACATTCCTTATTATAATATATAGAGTATCTACCTCACCGGCGCATCTACATTTAATGCAATATTTGTTTTGTAAAAATTCCATTTCTCACAATTGCGGTCATTGTTTCCATGAAGCGATGGGAACTTGTTGGCGGCCCACTATCCGTATACTTTAATCGCCGACAGCGTATTTTTACGGGCGCCTGCGCTCGCGTCCCGGGGCCGAGCACAACTTACGGTTGCCCGTCGTGGCGTTGAGCCAAGAAGCGAACTGCGCGCCGCCCAGTTGAGCAGTCGGGCTCCTCGGCGCGCAGCAGCCCGCGCCAGCACGGTGGCGCGCAGTGCGCGCTGGGCAGCGTGTCGGACGCCGCGCCTCGCGCCCCAACCACTGCGCCACCGGGCCCCATCAGCCGGCCCGCGCGTACGCCTGCAACGACACACACACACACACATGACATGCGTAAAATAAATTAAATAAATAAATAAATAAATAAATAAATAAATAAATAAATAAATAAATATTAAATAAATAAATAAATATTAAATAAATATTAAATAAATAAATAAATATTAAATAAATAAATAAATATTAATAAATATTAAATAAATAAATATTAAATAAATATTAATAAATAAATATTAAATAAATTTAAATAAATATTAAATAAATATTAAATAAATATATAAATATAAATAAAATATTAAATAAAGCATAAATAAAAATCGTATATAAATAAAATAA